GGAGCTCTCCCACAGTCTCATTTATCTTCAAAGTGCTTTACAAACACTAATTAATCCCCCCAGCAACCCGCTGGGGGAGGTGATACAACGCTGCTTGCCCTCAGCCACTGATGCCAGCCCAGCACCCTCATTTCCCCCCCTCGGTTTCTCTCCTGCTTGCTGAGTGCTTGCCATGGTTTGGAGGAGTGGGACACTCTCTCCATGGAAGGGCAGCAGGACAGTTGGTGTTTGTGTCACAATGGTTGGGGACCTGCATGGAAAGAGCCTGAGTGATGGCACTGCAAGCCAGGACCTTCAAGAGGTGAGCAGAGCTGCTTGCTCCATCTCCTCCTGAGCCCCAGCCTGCTTCTCCTTTGCCTTTTCTTGCACATTTAGTTGCCTTATGTCCAGCTTAATTGTTTTGTTTGCCTTTCCCCCGGGGCTGGGTGGATGCTGCTGGCCCAGCCTGGGGTAACTCGAAGTGTTTGCCCTTGGATGAAGAAGTGCCTGGGGAGGATGATCAGGTGGGTCCTTGTGCTCTCCCTGCAGGTCGTTGGTGCTCGATTCATAGAATCACGGGATGGTTTGTGTTGGTATCTCATTCCAACCCCCTGCTATGGGCAGGGACACTTCCCACTAGACCAGGTTGCTCCAAGCCCCATCCAGGTTGTTTTTTCCTGCAGGATCTCTGAGTTCAGAGAGTCTTTTTTTTAAAAAAAAAAAAAAGCAAAAAAAAAAAAAAAAAAAAAAAAAAAAAAGCTAGGTTTTTTTTTTTTTCTCTCCTTGCACGAAATGCAAATCAATAGCTGTTGTATTCACATTCTAACAAGATGTCAAGGAGAAAAGGGTAGCCTTTCATTCAGCAGAGCACACACACACCCCCCGAGGGAGGGGACAGGAAGGAGGGAGTGCTGCCGGAGGAGGTTGGGGGGGCTGCCTGGGGCTGGCTCTGCGCAGAGGGCACGGGGGTGAAACCACAGGCACGGCGGGGTTGGGAGATTTCTGTTTCCTTGGAGGCCTTTGCTCCCCTTTGTGCCCATGCCAACCTTTCTGCACCCCATCCTGCCCATCCAGACTCTCCTGCTCCCCTTCCTGCCCATCCCAGCGCTCCCACTTTGCTGCCCGACACCTCCCAGTGTGAGCAGACACCCGTCAAGGCATCACTTGGGCTCCTTACAAAGTCTCAGCCTTGCAGAGAGGTGCCATCCAGTTCCCTGGGACTGGTCCAGGTGCGATGGTCCAGGGGGAAGGTGTGCACAGCTGGAGGGATGCTGGTGTTGGGAAGGAGAGTGGAGGTGGCCAGGGCAAGGGTGATCCTCAGGGCCTGGAGGAGCAGGGGGACAGAGCTCTGTGGATGTGTGATCTGTGGCATGAGGTGATGCAGGACTCTGCAGGGATCACCTCTGGCAGATGGGATCAGCCCAGTGGAGGCTGCTCTGGTGATGGAGCATCCCCGATGGGAGCAGGGATGCTCCTCACCCTCCTCTCCTGTGCTGCTCTGCCCCCTCTCCCCCGCTGTGCAAGCAGAGGGTGAGGAAACCTCTGCTTCACTGAAAACGTGTTATTTCCCCCAGAGACTACTCTGGTCCCAGATGTGAATATGCATTGAGACAGCTGGAGAAAAAAAACCTCTGGAAATACACACAAAAATCATGTCTAAATGTGCCCAGCGGACCAGAATGTCTCCTCTCCGATTGGGGCTGCCTGTCAAATTTAAATATGCATTTTAGATTCTCTGCTTGATATCAGAAAGCAAACAACCCCAAATATCCCAGAAAAGCTCCACCAGCTAAATACATATTTATACACCTTTTTATTATGTGTCTTGGAAATCAAACAAATGAAACAGGCCAGTGCCTGCTCGGTCCTGCAGAGCTGGTGAGCAGTGAGGGATTTGTTTGGCTGATCAAAACACATTTGTTCCCATTTTGCAGATGGGAAGGTAAAGGCAGTGAGGTACCAAAGGTGTGCTCCAGGGTCACCCTCAGAGCTGTGTTTGGCAATTCAGGTGCCAGCCTAATTGGCCAAAATATATGCAAAGAGAGCAGCTCAGTGTGTGCTGGATTTGGGTAATAATCACTGCCAGGTGGAAAACAAAAAACAAACAAAAAACCCCCAAAACCCAAAAAAACAAAAAAAAAGAAAAAAAAAAAAAAAGGAAAAGAGTGATGGGAGGAAAAAAAAAAAAGTAGGAATGTGTTGTTTTGAAACTTACCCAAATATAGCTTTTCAACTCAGGGTTTGAAAGCAGAGCAACATGTTTGTTCTGAGTCCATCAAACATTTCTGTTAATTAGAAATGATTTCTTTGTTCATTTCCTTCAGTTCTTCCAGGATAACTTTATTTCTTTTTGCCTTGGGCAGATTCAGAGCTTGCTGTGTGGATCTGGAGAATGAGCTGCAGCCACAGGGTTCAGCTGAGCCCCAAAGCAGCTCAGTTTCCCCTGGGGACAGATGTCCCTGTCCTGGAATGGCCAGGAAGGATGCAGCCACATGCCTGGCAGCCCTGGGAAATCCCAAATGTCTCTTTGCAGCTGTTTTCCCAAAATACTCATGAAGCAAAGGATAATTTTGCTTAGTGTCATCTGTTGGGGTGTCATTTAGAGGGAAATTCAGGACAGAAATATCCCTGTCCTCATCGCAGGCTGAGGGACACACTCTGCTCACTGTTTTTTTGCTCCATGTGATGATTTAGCTCTTTCAGAGGTTAAACAACATAACTTTAATATAACATAACTTTAATTAAGGGAATTCAGTCTTTAGTTATGTTTTCTTTGGTGCTTTCCTGAGGATGCAGGAGAAGGGATGCCTTCAGCAGATAATGTGGGAATATGGTTGAATTAAAAGCTTTTAAAAACTTGTGGTTTATTCATGCAGAGTAGAAAATGAAGAAGGATTAATGGCTAAAAGCCAGAGGAAGTTTGTCCTGGCAGCATGTGCTTGGCTCCCATCCCTCTCTGGGTGAGAATATCCCTTCCAGAGCACAAGGGATATGGCTTTGTGCACCAAACCCACTATTCCTGCTCCTCCCAGTGCTGCTATGTATGGAAATAATGCCAGATAAGAGGGATGTGCACGGATGGGAATGTGATGGTATCGAGTTCTAACAGGTGGGTGAGAGAAATGGGGAAAAAAGCACAGAGGGGAGGGAATAATCAGGGGTTTGTGGCTGGATTTGGATGCCAGGAGAGCTCTGGCCCCAGCTCTGTGGCAGGCTTTAGGAATTGGTGTTTGTGGATCCATCATTCTTCCAGGATTCCTGCAGCCAATGCAGAGGGTCTCTTAGGCAGATGGTCCTTGAGATGATGGTTTAATGCAAAAAGGAGTCTCAAGGGAAAATAATCCATGAAAATGGGGATCCAGGGATGGTGACAACATGCCCAGGTAGGTGAGAACAGAGACTAAGGCGAGGAGCAGGTGAAACCCTGGGATGTGAGATGTGGAGGAGTGTGTGGCCACTGGTGACAGGAAGCTGTGGTGAGATAGCTGGAAATCCAAAATTTTGGGCCCGAAGTTCTCTTGGTCTGGCCTGGAACTCAAAAAGAGACATTTAACCCTGAGTTAGAGGGAAAAGAGATTGTTTTGAGAAAAACTGAAGGTTTAAGTTTGTCCTGAAGCTTTAAAAGAAAAAACCTGCTGCCAGTCTGTTTTTAACAAAGCGGCAATTAATGAGAAATAAGAAACATCTTTTTGTTTAGAAAATGTCAGAAATAAGTACTATTTGTTTTGGAAACTAACCTTTGCTATATATATATTTATTTATTTTTTTTTGGCAATGCAGCAAACTCAAGCCCTGACTGGTGAATGCCTTGGTCTGGAGATGGCTGTGGGAGGGGGACATGGCAGGGGCAGCTGTCCAAGCCCTGCACTGGGGACACTCAGGGCTCAGCAGAGGTGTGAGAATGTTCCAGAGAAGGGGGCCTGGGGGTAAGGATGGAAATTGTGGCATCCTGGAAGGAAAGGAGAGCCTGATGAAGACTCCTTAGTATGGGATGGTATCGGGTAGGGGGTGTGCAGGAGCAGGTACCCTGACCTCAGTGTCTTTTTGGGGCTCTGTGAGCTGCTGAAGGGAAAAAAATAAAAACATGTCTCCAGTTGGGATGCACAGGGAAGATTGCTGCTTGGTTTCAGAGATGTTGTGTGAAAAACACCCACTCATGCAAAAATCTTGGATTGCTCCCTGGTTTGCCTCAGTAGTAGGAAGAGCTGCTGCTGCTTTCTTGGCGAGGGGAGCAGAGGGCACAGTGAACCAAGGGGCTGAAGCCCGGGGCTGCCCCACCAGCCAGCTCCAGTCTGGGGAAGAAAAAAATTCCCCTTTGCTGGCGTCGGGTGCACGAGGAACCGGTGCGACTGTGCCCGAGTCCGTGCAGGGCTGCTCCCTCCACCCCGGGACTCCTCCCTGCATCCCAGAGCTGCTCCCTCCATCCCAGAACTGCTCCTTGTATCCCAGAGCTGCTCTTTTTATCCCAGAGCTGCTCTCTCCATCCCTGGACTGCTCCCTCCATCCCAGAGCTGCTCCTTGTGTCCCAGAGCTGCTCCGTCCATCCTGGGGCTGCTTCCTGCATCACAGAGCTGCTCCCTGCATCCCGGGACTGCTCCCCTCTCCGTCCCAGAGCTGTTCCCTGCATCCCAGAGCTGTTCCCTGCATCCCAGAGCTGCTCCCTCCATCCTAGAACCGCTACCTCCATCCCAGAGCTGCTCCTTGTATCCCAGAGCTGCTCCCTCCATCCCAGAGCTGTTCCCTCCATCCCAGAGCTGCTCTCTCCATCCCAGAGCTGCTCCCTGCATCCCAGAGCTGCTCCCTGCATCCCAGAGCTGCTCCTTGCATTCCGGGACTGCTCCTCTCTCCGTCCCAGAGCTGCTTCCTGCATTCCAGAGCTGCTCCCTCCATCCCAGAGCTGCTCCCTCCATCCCAGAGCTGCTCCCTCCATCCCAGAGCTGCTCCCTGCATCCCGAGCACCAGCTGGTGCCGGGAGGGATGCTCGAGGGGTCGATGCCTGCATTTAACTCCCTGGTTGCGGAGTGAAACCCGCAGGAGAGCGGGTGTGCGTGTGTCAGTCAGCATCCTGAACCAATGGGTGCCCGGTAGGAGGTCTGCGCTCCCGGTGCACGCACGGAGCCTGGGGCTCCTTCTGCCAGTTGTGTGCGAGTGTGTGTGCGTGTGCAAGGGGAGATCACATACCCTGACCGCCTGCTCCTGTCTCTCCCCCTCTCTCCAGCTCGCTAACTCCGTCTCCCTCCCTCTGCAAACATTGGATTTAAACCTGCTCAGAATTCAGCGCAGACGAAAAGCAGCGGCGGCAGCAGCAAGCAGCAAGCAAAGCAGCCGCTCGCCTACCGCAGCTCCAAGATGTACCATCCTGCCTGCTGGATCGTCTTCACGGCCACCACTGCCCTGCTCTTCATCCCAGGTAGCACAGAAAGCTTTTTCTCCAGCGGATGGGAAGGCAGGGGCTGGCAGGGTGGGAGATCCGAGCGCAGGGGACTCGGGCTCAGCGCACATTGCGCACGAACGCGCACATGCAGGCAGGCAGCGAGTTGCTGTGCAGCGGGGGATAGCCCAGTGCTCCCAGTGAGGGGCTCCCGAGCCGTGCTGGACCTCCAGGTGGGCACCGAGCCGCCCGTACCTGAGCGGTGCCGACACCTGCAGTGGGAGCCGGCCGGGATCGCTCAGCAGCCCCCGAGGATCCCCGGGCAGGATCTGTCCTCGAAATGATGGACTCATGCAGTTTTTCCCCTTCAGAGTTGGGCACCGGCTGTGTCCTCCCTCTTCTAAGAGCTGTCATGCTATTCCCTGTGCTCCTTTCATCCGTGCTTCCCTGGTTCCTGCCAGGCAAACTCGGTGCCTTCCCCTCTCTCCCAAAGTGAAAATGAACCCCCCTCCTCAATCCAGGCGCTCGGGGAGGCCGTGCGGGTGCCGCAACCTCCGTGAACTGAGCGGGGGCTCCCGAAATGTGGGCTGGCCTCGTCCCCACGGCTTGCCAGGGGGAGATGCTGGGTTTGGACCCAGCGCTGGCTCCGAGCTGGTGCTGGCGGGGCAGCGAGCGCTGCATCCAGCGAGGGTGATGGGGATGGACGGCAGGGCTGAGCGCCGGGCGGAGGAAGTCACAGGCGTATTTTTGATGATGATGTGCACTTTTAGCAGCTGGGAAGATTATCATCCTTGTGTGTCGAGGCTCGGATCGGATCTTAACCCAGCCTGCGTTTTTCATGACTGCCAGGAAGAATCGTGTTGGACTCGGGAGGGCAGGGAGAGGCACGGCTGTGATTTCAGCAGCTTCCCGGGGCTCAGTTCCAGCGCTTTGCTGTGCAGGGTTGGTGTGTGGCAGGAGGGTGAGGCTGGCAGGGGAGAGGTTACTCGTGCCACAGCTGGAGAACAGCTCCGTTCAGCAGCACTGAACACGAGGATTCTTGCGTTAAAACTTGCTTGTGCCATGGGACCAGCCACATCCTGGGGTCCTGTGGAGCTGTCACGGTGCAAACTGAGCAGATCAGTGGGTACAAGACCCCCAGGAATGGGTTGGGTACCCCTCTGTGGGATGGCAGGGGGCTGGGATGTGCATCAGCATTGGGGTCAGCACTGTCCCCTGGGCTGAGCTTTGGCTGCTGGGGAGCAGAGGTGGAGAACCCTTGAGAGCAGAGCCTCGAGCTCCTCAGCAGCACCAGAAACCAAAATGGTGCATCTGTAGTTTAGCACCTGAGCACGAGGGAGCCATGGCTGTGTGAGCTGCCTGACTTTGTGCATATAAAAGGTTGGTTTTTTTTAAAATAGGTCTTCAGCAGGACAGGGTGGATGTGCCTGGTGTGGGGGCAGGCTTGCCTCAGCAAGGCTGCCCTGAGTAGAGCTTTGGCTCTTTCACCCTCTTCTCTTGCTGGATAAGGTTCTGTGGGTTGGAATTGCAGAGAAATGGATGCAAGCAGCTGTGTGGGCCAAATGGGAGAACGTGTGACACTTGATGGGCTGTCATCGAGATGTCCTCAAGCTGCAGGAGCTGGCAGAAACCTGACAGGGCACATTTGCTGTTTACCAGTGCCCTGCTGCAGTTTCCTCAGGATGTTTGGGCCAAGACCAAGCCAAGGCCTGGGCTGGCTCTGGCCTCTGTGTGTGCCAGGGAATGAAAAGATCCCTGCGTTTGAGCCCCTGGAAACTTGGGAGAGGCTTCATGATCTGCACTTATGCAGTTGTAGCTTTGCCTTCTGATTTCTATTAAGCAGCAATATCTGCTTTGGCTTTGGATGTCCCCTGAGCTAAACCAGCCCAGGACTTTGCCTGGCTGGGCTCAGCCCTTAATCCATCAAGCCAAACCTTTCTGCATCAAAGGAAGGGAGATAGTCTGGGCTGCTCGGTGCTTTGCCTTCCTGCCCTGGATTTGAACATCTCCAATCCTTTCTATTTGTGCCTGGCTTGCAGAGGTTGGATGTTTTCCCTCCCTGCCCAACCTGTCCCAGCAGTGATTTCAGTCATGGTTTCACTGCCGTGGGCTGGAACACGAGTCATGTTGGCAAAGTCACGGATGGCAGAGGGAAGGTGAATGGTCCCTGCTGTCCTTTGGAGCTTGCACCTTCCCAAAGCTTTTTTTTTTTTTTTTTTTGGCTGTTTATTATTTGCAGGCATAATCCCAAGGGTTTTATGCAGGTGACGCTCCCCTGGAATATGCAGAGGCTGTTTCTGAAGTGCAAACTCTTTCCCTTTCCGTTTTTATCCGAATCCTGCGGGAGTTTCACACGGGGTGGTTAAAGTGAGAAGGGAACCTGCTTTTAGAAGGTGTAATTAGAGTGAAGGGAAACATCACAACTTGAAAGCTCCTGCAGAAAATAGCATCGCAAAGTTATTATTAGCTGTAATAGCTTATTTGCCAGTTTTTTCCTCTTTCTCCTGCTCCCACCTCTATCCTTTCCCCCTCCTCTTATTTTTGTTAGGAAAGATGCATTTTTCCCATTGGGTCTTGTGTCATCTCGTTGCCAATTTACTCTCATGGAATCTAAAGACACGAAAGGTTAATGCAATAATGAAACCCTGACCCCTCTGGTCATGGAGAGCTTCTTACTCTGCAGCTTTTTATTTCTTTGTAAGACAAGTTCCTATCTAAAATAATTTCGAAGGCTTAATGCTGTTGTCATCTGGAGCCTTGGGGGAGGTGTGTTCTTGGACATGGGTTGCTCTCTGAGGTGGGAAGGATGCTGAAGGATTTTAATGAGTCCAGCACTGCAGGATAGGGAGGTGAGTGGGTAATTTAATTGTCAAGCTGTTGGCAAATTCTTTGAACTGCTGGGCATTGTGGGTGCTGCTGTTTTGAGATGAGGATGGGCTGTGATGGAGAATGAATTTGGGGCAGGGGGAGTCTATTTGTCTGAGCTGCAGTTACAGGGTGACATCATGGCTCTACAGGTGGCAAAAATCAATGCTCATCAGCCTCTTCAGACATTTATATCGCTGCCTTTGCAGGCTGGGGGAAATTACTTGTCATGACAGTGGTCAGAAAATCTGGCAGTACAGGGGGAGATGGACAATCCCGTTTTTCACTGCTCCAGGGCACCAGGATCAAGGTGAAGCTTGTAGAGCTTGGGGTGTCCCCCAGTGCTCCCCTGTCACGCTGGCACCCAGGACCTGCTTTTTGCATCCTCCCGGGGGCTGTGTGTTACTTCATCCTTACTGGGGCAGCCTGGCGTTGGTGGTGGTTGTAAAACCCATCTAAATTTACAAAATAGACATTGCAGGCATTCAAAAACCTTCCCATCCCTTCCTGAAGGGGTCCCTGCTGCAGGAGCATGCTTTTCCCACTGCCTGTGACATCACTGTCACTTCTCTCCAGTGGGGGATGCCGGGCTGGTGGCTGGCTGCTGATCCCTGCGACTAAGCCTGAGAATAAGTACCTGGAGCACATTAGTTCTGCTTTAGTGTCATTTCAATATGAGCAAGAGGGGCTTAAAGGGATTTTCTGTGCTCTCCCAAAGGCTGGGGATAGGTGTGCATAAGGCACTGCAACCATCAGTCTTCCAGGAGTCAGGGAAGCTGGGGAAGATGTCCCAGCAGGATGGGGTGTGAGCCCCAAAAAATAGTGTTTGGTCTTCCTCTGCCTGTCCCTGAGGCTTGGCCTGTAGTTTCCCTGTCAGAGGGTGAATTCTCCATCTCCTGGCTCCCAGTACAGGGAGAAGCTTGGTGTTGGCCTCTTAGAGGATGTTTTAATTCTGCTGGGGAGGAGCAGCACTCGCTGTCATTTCCAAACCATGTGGGGAGGGAGCATGACAGGAGAGGAGGCACACACAGCTCTTGCTCCGTGCAAATCCCCCCAGTGCAGAGCAATTTGCCCTGGGGGCTGTGGGTTTTGGGGCCGGTGGCTCTGGCAGCTGCCTTTCAGGATGCCCCAAAGTGCTGAACCTTGCTTTGCGTTTTCCAGCAGCTTCTCTTTGACAGCGTCTCCTTTGTGCATTCCGTGGTTGCAGACGGCCGGGTGGAGGAGCTTTTGCTGGTGCGAATCCCTGTGAAAAACTGAAAAGGGAGAGATGTTTCAAAGGCACCGATGGGAGCTCTGTGCCTTAACTGGTGCCTTTGAAAATCTTCTCCAAAGGCTTGAATATTTGGTTATGGTGAATTTTGAGCTGCATAAACAGCTGTGTTCATATTTTATACTTGAATATTAAATTCTGAGTTTCTGCTTTGCTTGGTAAGAAACCAAAGTCGCTGAGTGGGGCTGTCAGGGGGCTGTGATGAGCCCCAAAAGGTTTGGGGGGAAACAGGATACCCAGGAGGATCCTTCTGCTGCAGTCAGGTGGGGATAGAGGAAAAGTTGTTGGCTTTTATTTGTAATCTCCTTCATGACCCTGGGGTCACCCTCAGCTTTGCAGCCCTGCCTTTCCCCTCCCCAGTTAGGCAAAGCTGGGCACTGATCCTGAACCCTTCTTACCTTCTGAGCATCCCCTGAGATGCTCTCAGCTGCTGGCATGTGCAGGATGGGGAGTGATTTCAGCTGTCACACTCCTCCTTTTTGTTTAAACTTAAAAATAATAACAGCTTTGCTGCAAATCTCCTTGCCTCCCAGTCATCTTTCCCTAATGAAGGCACGGTACTTATAATTACCAATGCGGCAACAGCACATAACAGAGGTGGCTTTGACACTTGCTGCTCCGTGGGTGGGTTTTTCCAGGGAGCTCCTCTTCGTTTCATCCTTAGAGAGAAGAAACACTTTCCTGCCTGCTTCTCCAAAGCCCTGGGATTGTGTTTCCATCCTCTGTGAGTGACCAGGCAAGGAGTTTTTTCTGATGGGAGTGGCAGGGGAGGTGTCACCCTTGTGAAAGGATGGACAGCGAGCCCAGGTGTGGGGTCTGGCTGAGTTGGAGCTGGGGGAATTCTCTCTCTAGTCTCAGCTTAGGTTCAGACAGTGTGGGGTGGCTGAGGGCAGTGATTTGGGAT